GATACAAATGGATAGAGGGAGACATTGGATATTGCGCCAGGAACATAACAAGCACTTGGTAAATGTTTATTTTTCATAAAACAACAAGAATTGAGGTGTAGATAAACTGGAAAACACCCAAAGTCAAAAGCTCTCCTTCCTAGGGACCAGCAGTTAGTGTAATGGCTATGTCGCTGGACTCCCATGTAGTCAACCACGGTTTGCGTCCCGGACCCGGTGGCTTAAAACTCACGCCGGGCGCGTGTGCATGCGTGCCCAAGATCCCAAGAGAAGAATGGAGGAGAAGGGATTGCGGCATGGCCATCCCCCCTGGGGGGTGATTTCTCGCTTTCTGTCTCTGTCTGTCTGTCTGACGAGTGCACGCGCCCTATAGCAAAAAAACCTCTCCAAAAAAAAAAAAAAAAAAAAAAACCCAAAAACAAAAATTCTCCTTCCTAGGGCTTATCAGCCCAAAGCTTGCTTCTTAAGAGGGGCAGGTACAGGTGTACTCACATGTTAAAATTGTAATGCCCAGGGTAATTGGTGTGTAGGACAAACTTCTTCACTTTGTGTGTATTCGCATCAAAGAGGATATCCTGGGATAGAAAACAAGGCTCAAGTAGGAAATTGAGGCAGCAGAAGGGGCCATTCCAAGGGAAGACCCCCCCCCAATGGAGAGCCCATAGGCATTAGCTTTCTCCCAAACAACAGCCAAGGGGGCAGCTGAAGACAAGCAGTCCTAACTGGACATTTTTAGTGAGGAGAGGGGGTTATCCAACCATCTTCAGACCTGGCAGGCCCAGGGACTACAGTTACCACGGCTTGAGAACTAAAATAGGTAAGGGAGATCTTTACTGCCTACAGCACTTGATAAAAATGCGTTAAGTGCAAATTTTGGCTCAGAGGCCACCAAAAAAAACTCACTGCAGCTTCAGCAGCTCTCTACCACTGCTATGCGATGCTGGGGCCACACAGAAGGCCTGGGTTCAGATTCCAGACCAACTTAAAAATGCAGGGCACAGTGGTGCATGCATGTAACCCCAGCTACTTGGGTGGCTGGGGTGAGAAGATGACAGCATGGTGAGACCCTATCCAAAAATACTTCTGTCCTCAAACACAGAAATTAAAAATTTACAAGCTGGGACCAGCAGGTGGCGTGGTGGTTAAGGCGCTGGACACTCCCACATGGCCAACTAGGGTTCAAGTCCTGAATCTGGTGGTTTGCTTTCTTACTTCCTCTCTCTCTCACTCTCACCCTCTGTGTCTCTCTGGTCAAACTAAAAAAATAAAATGAATGAATAAATAAAATAAAATATTAAAATAAAAAAAGCTTAAAAAAATTTACAAGCATACTTTCACTATCTCCAAGCTTTTTTATTTTATGACTCCAGAAAAGTCTCATGTCCTACAACAGGGACGTTTCCAAAGCAGTGTAATCATTAAATGATTTTATGATTTAGCTGTGGAGCATTTTTCCCTCACAAAAGAAGTCAAACATATCAGGAAACATAGTACTTCTCAGCAATCCTGGTGCTAAGAAAGGTCTATTTGGGGCACCAGAGCCAATGCAAAACAATATTAGGCAAAGCCAGCTAGAGCTAGGTCCTCTGTTATCCAAGGTAAGGCCACACGTGTACACATAAGGAATCACAACTTACCACCCCAAGAGTGAAATAGTTAAAGAAGTAGTCATTGCACTTGGATGGAACTTGCTTATGAGGGGAAGGAGAATGAATTTTCATCTGTTGGAAAAAAATTAACAATAAATTAAATCCAACCCTTTAATACGCTTAATTAAATGGAAGTATAAATTATGTTTCCTATAGAACATTAAGCTGTTGGATAAGAAGACTGCAGAGGGCCAGCAAGTGACATGGTAGTTAAGGCACTGGACTCCCACATGGCTGATTGCTGTTCAAATCCCAGACTTGGTGGTTTGCTTTCTCATTCTCTGTCTGTCTGGCTCTCTCTCTGATGAGCAACCATGCCCAATGGCAAATTAAAAAAAGAAATTAGTAATACATATAATTAAATAATTTTTAAAAAGACAATTGTGGGGCATCCTAGTTGCTGGTGTAAACCAAACCCCGAAGAGGAGGAGCCAGTTGTGGCTGACTACAGAGTAGGCCCTGGTCTCCAAAGCAAGGCAGCCTATGGATTAGGACAGAGGCAGAGTAATCTGACCAACAGAGATCAGAAAAATGCTTTCAATTTATTCTGTCATCAGCTTTAAGTAGAATAGGCTCAATAAGAAAATAATAATTTATAATTATTCAATAATAAATTAATGTTGATTTAAAAGTGAGGGAAGGTCTAGCCAGGGTGGCATAGAAAGTAGGGTGTTGCTGTGCAATACTGGAGCCACATGGGAGGCCTGGGTTTGGACTGTGGGTCGACGCACCAGGCATACCTGTATGCGCCTGTGATCCTGACTGGGAGGCTGTGAGAGGAGCCCATAAGGGCATACCTCCAACCCCCTGACCCAAAGAACTAAATAAAATAAACCTTAAGTGAATTAAAAAATAAAAAATCTTTAAAAAAAAAAAAAAGGCACAGGGACCACCAGATGGTGTAATGGTATAATGGTTACGTAGCTGGACTTCCACATAGTCAACCACAGTTTGAGTCCCAGACCTGGCAGCTTACACTCACACTGGGCGCGGGTGCATGCATGCCCAAGATCCCAAGAGGAGAATGGAGGAGAAGGGATTGTGGTGTGGCCATTCCCCCGGGGGGCGATTTCTAGCTCTCTGTCTCTCTGTTTCGCTCTTTCTTTCTGGTGAGCACATGTATCCTATAGCAAAAAAACTCTTAAAAAAAAAAAAATATGTGCAAAAAAGTGAGACTGCCTATTCACAGTATACACAATTCTCCTACCTTATCTTCTGACTTATAGAAGACCTTGTGTGGAGAGCCAAGCATGCTAAGAACGTCTTGGCAAGAATCACCAAAATACACTGAACGCTCAAATACCCGCATCTTGGCATCGGCTAACAGGCCGGGTCCACAACCTACAGAGAATAAGGAGAGGTTATCAGATTCTGGTCAGGGCTAAGATGTTGTAGCCTAAGGCCCTGCAGACCCCAAGAGGCTACTGCTTTAGTATCAGGTTTAGCTAAGGAGTGACACTGAAAGCAAGTGTAAATACCAGGTGACCAGTGCTTCAGATTATGAGAGATCACTATGCACTACAAATAATGCCAAGACTCATTCAGTCTCCTCAAAGTGATATGGAGCGCTGCAGACTGCATTTACTTATTTACTTACCTACCAATTATTTCCTATTGCCTACCACCAGTTAGGACACTGTGCTAGATATTGAGGAAAAAATGGTGAGCAAGACAGTGTAGTCTCTCCCATCAGCTCACTGACTGGGGCTTACAGTGTGGTGGTAAAGACCACAATCAGATCATCACACAACTGTGGTAAAAGCAAGAAGCAGCAGAAGGTATTATGGAAGTGCTCAGTGATAATATATAAGAACTTATGTTAAGAAGTACTTCTCAATGCTAACTCCCAACTAGAGACTGAACCTATTAGATCACTCTACAAAAGAGCCAAGAGGGAAGCACTCATTAACTCACTCCCTACTTTCTGACAACCTACTAACCCAGATAAGAGCCTCTATCACTCAAAGATACAAAGCGGGAAAAACAGGGAAAAAAAAACACCTGATTTGCCTAAGTTTATTCTTTGGGACAAATTTTTAAATCCTGACTTTCTCTAATACATACCAAAAATTGTTCTAGTTTAACACAGACACACACAAAAATGGAATAGTGTCAGACACCAACAGCAATATTTCTCTATTGTGCAGGTGGAAAGACTAGGTATTTTGCCCAAAATAAAAAAGGAAACTGCAATTCCTCGTGTCATGATAACCACTGACAAGACCTTACTCTACAAGAGGCTTTACAGTTAAAGTGCTTTCATGTGCAACATTCCATCCACTATATGTAGAAGACTTCAAAGAACCAAAATTGAAACTAAGTAGGTACTAAGTTTTCCAACTAACCCAAGAATCTGTCTTTTGTTTAGTTTATAATTTCTAAGAGGGCATGTACTCTTGTCAGAGAGAGAGAGAGAGAGAGAGAGAAACTAGCTGCCACAGAGGTCCTATTGGCCACAAAAACAGTCAGATAAAGAACAA